GGGGGGGACTACAGTTGAAGGCTATCTCGCTTATCAGAGGATCAAATGTTAGCAAGTTTCACACATATGACATGCATAAAAAGGAATCTTAAAATCCGCAATCAAATTTGAGAAAAAAGTTTCGTTTCCATGGATACGGCGGCCATATTGGATTTTGTTAACACGTCTTACGTAATTAATATCCCACATATTTTTAATGGAAAAAGATTGGGTTTTTTTTCATGCTTCTTGGTAAACCATAGATCTACAAATTCGTTTGATGAATTTTTCCTAAACGTACAGGAAAGTTTTAATGAATTTCCTGAGATAATATTCACGTTTGCAAAAAATCCGTGAAAATCCACAATCCAATAACCACCAATGAAAAACTATTCCATATATCAAAAATTCATGAGACAAATGTTTAGTACTACATCTTCTCTGCATCCTGTGAAATTTCATAAAGATGGTAGAGTTATTAAGAAACGTATATAGAAAAACCACGTTTCGAGAAAACGGGCAATAAAAATAATAACAGATTGACTTTGTGAGGAAATGGTGTTGACGAACATGCCTGGTATGGGGAGAAATACGGCTTTAGGGGGTTCTTATGCGATGAAATAGATCTAGTTGTAGGAGAGGCTGATGAAGCTAAAATGCCTACAACTTGAAATCCATAGCTTTGAGCCGAATCGGGACTTTTAGCTGCAGCCCCCCCCCTCCCACCCCTTAACTTCTATGGTGACGGGAAGGCAACATGTCAGAAAGAAGAGTGTAACTTTCAAACACATTTTTACCGTGCGCTTTTTGCGAAGTATTTGCTCCTCTTTCGTTCCTCTCAAAATGGAGAATTTGTGGTTTATGCCCCCGTCTACAAATTTGACTATTTGGTCGCAGGTGTAGCACAAACAGAATCTATACGGCAACAATTGTGGAAAACCAGGTGAAGCACAAGGAGTAGCGTCGGTGGCCTAGTGGTTAGGCTACCGGACTCGTAATCGCGAGATTGCGGGTTCGGGGGTTCGAGCCTCAGCTTGGTCCGACGTTGTGTCCTTGGGAACGGCACTTTACACGAACTTCCCACTTGGCTCGGTCCTATCGGAGACGGACGTTAAACTAGGAGGTCCCGCCCCTTAAATAACCTAATAGCGTTGATAGGGGTGTTAAACCCATACCATTTCACCATACAATTTTTTTTTGCACACGGAGAATCCATACAGGCAACAATTGTGGAACATCAGGTGAAGAACAAGCAGAATCTATACTGGCAACAATTGTGGAACATCAGGTGAAGAACAAGCAGAATCTATACTGGCAACAATTGTGGAACATCAGGTGAAGAACAAGCAGAATCTATACTGGCAACAATTGTGGAACATCAGGTGAAGAACAAGCAGAATCCATACAGGCAACAATTGTGGAAAATAAGATGTAGCACAAGCAGAATCTATACCGGTAACAGTTGTGGAAAACCAGGTGTAGCACTATTGCACAAATATAATTTATACCAGCAACGATTGTGGAAAATCAGGTGTAGCACAAGCAGAATCTATACCGGCATGCCTCAGGACGTCAGGCAGTTGTTTATGTACTACGGCCAAAATGCTTGAGAGAAAAAAAAGTCTTACGGTACCTCAATCTGCCGCAATGGTTGCTTGCACTCGCGAAATGTTGGGTCGAAATTCAAATTCTAAAAGTTGAAAAAAGCAAATAAACATATATAACGCTGGTGCATTTTGTGAAAGAATCGAAACATTATTTCTCTCTCCTCAAAACAATTTTGCTGTTTTGGCTGAGAAGATTGGAGGAGTTTGCCGGCGATAAGTTGGCCACCACTGTCAGACACACCGAGCGCCCGACTAGACTAGATGGTGAAATTCAAATGAGACCGTCACATGACACTCTCAGCCTCTCCCTGTAGAAGGCAGAAGATATTCGGAGACGTCTCCGGCGAGCACCCAGGAACTATTCGGAGACGCACTCCTGCACACAGATGCACTGGGTTTTGTTTTTTTTGGGTTTTTTTTTTTGGAGGGGGGTTGTCAAACTGCGTATTATTTGCTGCAGGTCACACATATAGCCACTAAAACTGTCGCAAATAAATTAATTTCAAGAAAATGTTCAAGCCTAACTGCAAAGTATCAAAATATGGGATATCCATATAACCCCCAGATTTTGTTACTTGGTCTAGAGGCACAAAGCATTTTGATTGGTCTATCTCCGCTGGAGACGTCTCCGGATAGATACTGCGCCCTCCACACATCAGCTCTTTAATCTTTGTAAAAGCACACAGATCGGCGCGTGAATCTCCGGAACTGTTTTGTAGTGCCGCGAGTGAGTTGACGACAACCCCGCATACTTGTGTGTGAGCGGCACGGTGTGGACTCTCTCTCTCTCTCTCTCTCTCTCTCTCTC